AAATAGTAAATATAGGCTTCATAATTTATTTTTAGTCCGGCTGAAATTAATTTCCATGCTTTTATAGTGGCAGCTGGCAGAATATGCTATTTTAATACAAGTACTTTTTTTTATCGAATGTAAGAATAAGAATCCAAGAAGGAAGAAATAAATATTTAAATTAAAGTTGTTCAGTTTTATATATATATCCGGATATTATTATAAGCCATTTTTATTTTTTTCATACATTTCATTATCAATATATCTAATTCATATATAAATCAAATAAGTCAAATATATCAAAAATAAATAAATGTTGCTTATATATATATATATATATATATATATATATATATATATATATATATATATATATATATATATATATATATATATATATATATATATATATATATATATATATATATATATATATATATATATATATATATATATATATATATATATATATATATATATATATATATATATATATATATATATATATATATATATATATATATATATATATATATATATATATATATATATATATATATATATATATATATATATATATATATATATATATATATATATAATTCTCCAAAATCATCCATGCAAGTAAAGTTTTCTGAATTGTTTACCATTGTGAAAGAAAGAATTCAGGAATGTTTGTTTTGCTATATTTTCTAATTTACCAACATATGCATGAGCTGTTATTTTCTAGGAAGTATAGAGCTATATATAACTCAGGCTACAGTTGTACAATCTTTTGGCATACATGTATTCAAAACTTACTTTTTGTACAAAAAACTAAAGATTCTGTTTTCCAAAATATGAAAGGAAGAACTCCATACATAGTGCAATGTCTTGAGCACCATGTTGGTTTGGTTGTGCTTCTTTTACTTTTTATAATTTAGTTGTTATTTGGGCACTCTATTTTGAGTTGTCTTCATTTTCTTTTTGTCTTTGCTTTATGTCTTGTTTCTTTCTTTTTGTTTTCTTTTATGCATTGGATTAGAGTATTCTTTGTCTTTGTTTATTATTATTTTTAAATAAACTTAAAAGGAAAATTACAAATGAATAAGTAAGAATAATGTTTACAAATTTATAATTAGTGTTGAGTTGATTTTGAAAAATGACAAATAAATAAAAACAAAAGGTTCTTGTGAATATAATATTTTAAAAAATACAACATTTATAAAATATAAAACACTAAAAGTAAAATTTTTATTTTATAATTGTTTAATTATTTTCTTAAAACTTAAAACTTGTATATTTGAATATTGTTACAAATATTAATATTAGTTACAAAGTAGTTACAAGTTAGTTACAAATTGATCACATTAGGTTAGATGAGAGAGTTATTTATTAGTTACAAATTAGTTATAAATTAAACGAGTTACTTAAATATTCATCTATATAAATTTTATTGTATCATTTTAACCGACTAAATTTTTATTACAATAATACAAATTTTAATACAAACTTTTATATTTTTTTTTCTTTTTTATAGTTTTTATAGATTCTATCAAGAATTTTAATATGGTATAGAGAATTATGGTTTACATCTTGAAGAGATGTTCCATAACATTTTATGGAGAAAATCCAGTTGTTGTTTTTTTCTTCTTGCTATTTCCGTCTGATCGCATTATAGATTCATTAATGAAAAATACTTACATAGATATGAATATAACACTTAGATTTACACTCAATCAATCACGATTTTTTTATTAATTAAAAAATAAAAATAAAATTTTCTCCCTCCTTCATTATCTCAAGCATTCCATAAATTTTAATTATAACAAAAATTAAATTTCAAAATTTTCTCTCTTCTTATTAATTGTTCCTAAAAATATGAATTTAGGTTTTTCTGCTAGTATTGAAAAGGATGTTGTGCCAAGAGCGGTGTGATCTGGAAAATTGTTCAAGTGGTTTGGTGCCTTGGGGATACATTAAATTCTACAAGTTTAAGCTTTCATTCATAAAATATAAAGGCAAATGTGATATTCGATCTGCAATGTCTTTGCCTTGTTTTCTTTGTTAGTGTTGTGACTTTACAATGTAAATTGTTAATTTTAAATGATATTTTGTGTTGGTGAAAAGAATTTTATTTTCTAGAAGTATTAGAACTTAATATTATTTGAAGACCTTGTGCTGCTTGTTCTTACCATTGGTTTGTTTTGATGGTGATTAGTTTTAATTGGTTTTATTTTTTCTTCTTAACTATTTTATTATTGTTGCCTCGGAGTGGTTAAAACTTTTAGTCGTGTTTTTTTTGCTTAATAGTAAAGTTTTTGTTATCTTATTTAGCATTTTGAAAGATCACTTTCAAGAGTAGAATTTATTTTTGTTTTTCTTTTTATAAGGAATGTTGTGAGAAAATTTTTTTGTTGAGATCCAAGTTGATAAAAAGACTTTTAAGAGTTAGGCAATTCAATAGCTACCAATTTGGAGTTCATTTCTTTAACTTTAATTGTATTCTTGTTGATTGTTGATTACATTTATGATGTACTTTTCAAGTTGGAAGTGTTGTGAACATTTCAACTTAAGGGGTGTTAAAGATATTAACTTAGTTAGAAATTAGTTGCAAATTAGCTACAATTATTTTAGATAAAATAGAGTAAGTACCCAAAAGGAAAGAGACTACAACAAGATCACTCTAGGGTAACAAACCCTCTCGCATCCTCATCAACTAGAAACATCCTAAAAAAACTACTAAACACTACACAAACCCAACAACTTAGCAAAACCACTTATCCAATGGCCACCACAATTCATACCAAGTTTATTGCACATTTTTATATTTTCTTTTATAAATTCTATACAAAAAATCTTAACAAAATATAAAACTCTCCACTCCATAGTAGATTTAGATTTTTTAACTTGATTATAGCAGGACTCTTAAACAAAATGGATGAAATATATATTCTCAAAGACAAAAGAGATGACTAAAACATAATGGGTATGAAATGTGAAATCCACTATAGAGTGAACCTTCCCAAAACCAGAGGCAAAACAAAAGAATCAACAAGCACTGGATTTCATGTCCATCATATCCCTAATTCTTAAATATTCTAGCATTTTCCTTATAACTCATACCACTAAATTTATAAGTAGAGGTAGTGTATTAACTTGTGTGGGGCTGATCCATTCAGAAATGTGTTACTGTTGACCATAAATTATATGATAAAAGTATATACAAAGCAATAAAAAAAAAGTAGTTTTGAGAGTACAAAGGTGGGTGGCTACTGAAGAAGAGAAACATGTTGCATCAAAGGTTACGGAAAATGCTGACATGCACATCTTATAGCTATTCTTTTTGTTTTACTTGTTATAGTCTTCATTAATCAACCAACAGTTTTCAATTATCCTTATTCATATGTTGGAGTACTCCATAGACACAAAAAAATGCAGTGTTCCCCTATATACGTATGGTTTTGGTTGCATGTGCACTAAATACCAGTATTTCATAAGCAACATTCCCTTATGTAAGGTTAGATTCAATAAATAAATAAAAAATAGAAGTTCAACATCACATGGAAAGAAGAAGATATTCTAATTAAATTTTAAGAAACTATATAAAAGGAAATCCTTCCGTATAATTAGTAGAATTATAATGATAAAAAACTATATCAATCAGCAATCAAACGGATTAACGGGAAAAAAGTAGCTTTGAAGTTGAAAATCAACCAGAAAATGTGATAGATATTCAACAAACATGAAAGAAAAAACTCACACAAAAAGTTACATATAAAATAGAGAAAGAAGTACTGGTACACAACAATACTAGTTAGAGACAGATCATGTCCACTCCACTATATCGTACGGATAAATAAAACAAAAAGGGCTATAGCTAGCTAGTATCATCTTTATCAAGAAGAAAATAAGGAGAAAAAATTGGTATTCTCTCTATCTGTCACTTGATTTTCTTTCTTACATTGTTTATCATTTGAGTAGATTTATTTCTCAATATTATATACCCAAATAACTACTAAATACTACTGGAGTGTAGTAATAATTTTTATAAATAAAATTTATATTATCAATTAAAGTTAGTGTTAAAAACACAAATAATATAACTACTGTGTAACTGTTTGATTTGACATTTATGCCTCCAAACTCACATCATATCTGATTTCTGAGTTAAAAATGAAAACATTGCACCTAAATTAAAGACATACTAAGATCCACTAGTTAGTAGAAATGATTATACTACTTCTTTTTACTCCTATTCTTTTATAAATATCAATTTTTTCATTGTTATTTTCAATATTAATTAGTATAAGAAAAAAAATTTTAAAAAATATATGTAATAAGAGAAATAGCATAAAGTTTATAATGGTCTTATAAAATGATTTATAATTTGTTTCAGTTTCCCATCTTAAAGTAATATTAATTGCTTGCAGTTTCATCAAAATCATCTCTAGTTGTTCTAATTTTAAACCAAAAAAAATATTAAATAATTAAAAATATTTTAAGTTAAATCCCAATCAAATCAAGTAAATATATAATATAGAAAGTCTTGTGCAGTTTCAAAGCTTTAGACATACAATTAATAAAATAACACAAAACACAATCAAAAAGTTAATTTAAAAATGATTAAATTATCAGCAATTTGGTTTAAAATTATTATAATCCAAATACATTTGAATTTCTCTATTGAGTATTTTTTATGATTGGGATATGTCTAAACTCAATTTTATAAATTCAATTGACAAGACTAGGGTCTAGAGTATCCTTTTAAAGGATTTCAAGTTTCTTTTTGAAGTAGTACTATCGAATAAAATCTACTACTACTACTAACACTAGTCCACTACAGTATACAAGATTATGAAATAGATATATGAGATAAAGTGAAAGCTTTATGAAGTGATAATAATATTCATGACAGTAATAACCATTATTTTAACAAAGAGTACAGTAATTAAAATAAATCATGAAATACAACGGAATGAAAATACGGTTTTATTTTTTTTTTGCTAATAATTTCTTTTGTCCTTTGATGAATACTTTGATCAAGATCTTGGGTTGGGGAAGAATTGCGTACCACTAGGAGGCATGAAAGTGCTAAGTGGAGCTGGATACATAGAAGCAGGATCAACAAGTTCCCCAGGGACAGATGATACCAGATTCAACGGCAGTGCCGCCGCTTCACCACCGCTAGGAGGGGTGTTTCCGGCGGAGATGTAGTTGTTATTCATATCTGCACCATAATTATACAAAATTCCTCTGAAAACATGCCCGCTAATGTTCACAGCAGTTGAATATGCAATCTCCTCCTCAGAATCATCAACGGAAGTAACTCGCACGCACCGAAACTCCGCCGAAGAGTTCACCACAGCCGGAAAATTCACCTCCTCTACTAATCCTTTTTAATCATTTCCCACCAAAAAAACAAAAACTATTAGTTATAAAGACAGCTTTATATAAAAAAAAAATATAACATAACATAACATGTGCAATAACAGTGATAACTGATAACAACAGATCACAAAACACACATGAACAAAGAAAAAGAAAGAAAAAGAAAGAAAAAGAGAGTGAGTGTTAGGAAAGAAAGAAAACAACAGTTTTGCAGAAACTAACAGTAACAGCTTCTTCTCTTCCCTGTCACCTTCTTCTTTCGTCAGGGTTACTGAAAAACAGTGTTTCGGAAAAAGAAAAAGGTAGTAACAAAAATTTCTCACTTCACACACGCAATCGATATTCGATCTCTTCCAAAACTTTCTCGGTACCTCCACATATCTTTTTCAAAAACCAAAAACAAAAGCAAAAACAAATCTCTTGACAAGTCTCGAGTCAATAGATCATAGAGCTTTGAGTATATAAGGTAGCGCATGAGACATGCAGAGTCATAGATCAACATATTTCAACAAAGACAAGAAAAGAAAAAAGAAAGATGTTTATATGTATATACATATACCTGCTGTAGGGAGAGGGTTTGAAGGTAAACGAGCACAAGCTAGAGCAGAATTATTAGGGATTTGGTTGTTGTGAAGATCTCTCTGTCTGTTTTCAGTAACAATATCTCGGTATTGTGGTTTGGGAGCAGCAAGTTGTTGTTGCTGCTGCTGTTGTCTCTCTCTTCTTCTTGCAGCAGGAACCCAAGTACTCTTGACATGAGTTTGACAATCAAAGCCTCTACTCTTACAGCATGTCCTACAGCGAGCATGAGGACAATCTTTCTTCGCCTGATTCCCACAATCTTGACAGCTGATCCCTCCAACGCTTCCAGAAGCCACCACAAACGCAGATCTATTATCATCAGAAGATAAAACCCTACTTGGCCCCACTCCTAACGCAACGCCAGTGTAAAGATCTTGCTGCATAGGCAAAAACTGGTGCTGTTGTTGCTGCTGGTTCCAAATCTCAAAACTACGGTATCCGCCAACAGGATCATCGGGTTTGTTGCCGGTATTGGTATTGTACCAGAATTCCGGTGGTGGTGGATTGATATTGATAGGGTTATTGATATTGTCTGGATTATCGTCTTCCTCACACCTCACTCCACTAGTTCCTCCTAATGAAAAAATACCAGCCATTCTAGTACTCCTAAACCTAAACGAAAATCCATATCAAGAAAACTCTGGATCGGTGAGGTTCTTATTGAGTAGAGAAAACAAGAACGACCAATCAAATTTAACCCTAATTAATCCACCTCAAGCAGAGATTTAAATATTTGTCTTGAAATTTGTTCTTCATCTCATACATTAACTACTAGGGCAGAATTGAAGGTTTGTTCGTTGGTTGAGGGAACAGTGTTAACCACGCATTGAAATCGGTACTGTTTCTATCTAGACAACAAAGATGCATTAATGAAAAAAGAACTGCAAACGCCGCCACGCCCACTTCTTCTGTCTCGCTCTAATTTAAGGCTACAATTTTCTCTCTGAAGGTTAACCAGAGAGTGTTTATTAACCTTTTTTTTGAGGTCTGAACACTTGCCCTTTATGTGTCTGAATTTTTCTGTGCCTATTTTGACACCATCACAGTGTAAGTTTTTCTTACTATTCCACTAACACTCTAAAACATTCTAATCGAATGCTTGTTATTTTTTTTTATCTTAACGGTTTCTAGTTTTTTTCAATTATCATCGTACGGTCTCCGTTCATACACGTGATCTAAGAAACAACTTTTGTGCTATTTCGTCCTTTTACCGCAAAACCCGCTGCTTTTCGTACCACCTTGTCTCTTTTATCTTCACAATTATTACTGGTTTTCATCTCTAGTTTTGTCATCACTATATTTTAAGTTTAAATATGTGTTTTCTTAGTAATTTTGTCTACTAATTGCCAATTATGTTTTCTTAACATGGTGTCTATCTCATTAATTGAAAATTATACAAATTATTACATTTAAGTTAGAAATGCATGTGTCTTGCTTTTAATTATGTTTTAAATCAATCAATAGATTTGAATTAAACCGATTAATAATTTATTCAATTCCATTTCTAAAAATATTGAGAAATCTAACCAAAGCAAATTGACGTGTTTTTTTTGTCGGTTTGAATATTTTTGACTTAACCGACCCAAACTAAACATATATATCCCTTCTTTAATTATAAAACATATTTTTTATATTTATATTTGAAAATTTAACTTACATTAATAATTTGTTTATAAGAAATATTTCCATGATAAATTCTAAAAACATAAATTTATTTTCTGTCTCTTACTATAGGTTATATAAAATAATACACTTTTTAAGAAATGAGTTGAATCAAACTCGACTCAACTCGTTAAAAATTAATTCAACTTAAATTTCTATTCAAATTTGACATGAATTTTTTTTTTAAGTTCAAAATTGATTTATAATAAATTCACAAACAATTCAATGTAACTCAGTAGTTTCATCTTATTAGTTCATCTTGATTGCTTTCACAGACATAAAACCATTTATTTAAAGTACTTTTTTCTATATTTGATATTTTAAACTAATATTTTTAAATAAAAAAACTTGAAAAATAAAAATAAAAATATATTTAAATTATTTTAAAAATATATAATTTATACTTTTTTTAAACAAGTTATATTGAAAAGAGAATTAAAAATTTTCAATTTCGATTACAAAAAACGAGATAAAGTTTGACAAAAGAAAATACACTCCAATTGAAACTTTAGATAACTAAAACAAAATAATTTTTGTTAAATTCGTAAAAGTTTTAATTAGGATGTGTATAATTTCTGATGAAAGACCTCTAAACCAAGGTCTTGATGTTTCAAACTACGTCTAAAACGTTTCAATCTTCTTCCGTAAAAGTTATACTATTCTTAAGAGTCCATAAATTCAACAAATTGTGTCTTTGCCTCTTTTCACTTTATTAAACTTGCAAAAAGAGCACCACCTCAAAAAAATTTCTTTGAAACTATCCGCTTCAAAATCTACGAAATCAATCCAAGCAGTCACCTTCTTTCACACTAAATCGGAAATACGACACAACAATAAAGAGTGATTCAAAGATTCGACACCTCCTCTATAAATAACGCAAGAAAGATTACTAGATTGAGAGAAAATATCTTTGATAACTAACAAATCTCTAGTTGATAACATGTTGATGAAACACCTTCAACCAAAAACTTTAATTTTGTGAGAGACCTCCATCTTCTAAACCAAATCGAAAGCCTTATCAAATTTATTTGTTGGACCGGAAGGAATGTGAAATTTGCTAATAATCCCATAAAAGAACCTGACTGAAATCCTACCTTAGGATTAGAATCCCACAAAATCCTATCCTTGTCACCCACGGCCAGAGTTGCAATTTGCGGCATATCGCGCAACAGCAGGACATGCGCGGCAACTTCTGGATTGACCTGGATAGAGATTCTAAAATCGCCTCACTTCCGCTCACCTTCTGACCAACCTCACATGTCTCTCACTGACACGTTCTGCAATTTGGAAATAGAAAACAGAAAAAGGATAAAGATCTTTGAGACAACCGACTTGCAACCAAACCGGCTTGTATAATTATTTTCAAAAATATTTTACTCACTTGAAAATATAAATTATCAATTAAAATCGTTAAATCAAGAGAAAATATAGAACTAAGATTTGAAATAAATCTTTAAATCTATTCTTAAAATTAATATAATTTATCGAATTGCTCATTAACCTAATGAGTTAAACTATATATAGTTCAAGTTTAACTAATTTAGTTAATAAACTTAGTTCTCCGTTCATATTCAGCTCATTTGGATCATAAACCTAGTTCATATATTTAATTGACGAGCTGAATTTTGAATTATTTGATTAATTATCAGCCCTAATTATAATAAGGCAAATTCTTGATTACGATTTATAAATTTAGAGGTAATTTATCCTTTATGACATATATTAATAAAATTTTGTCATATAAAATAAAATTTAAAATCACATATTAATCTAAAATTTTAAAAGATTAAAATAAAATAAAAATAATAATATATAATTTGATTTTTGAATAGTAAAATATTGATAAGTTAATTGTGAGTAATACTTCTAACATTAAATAAAAAAGATAATATTAAACTTTTTTTAAATGAAAAAATATTTAAATCTAATATTTTAAAATTTTAGATTAATAATATAATTTTAAAAATTAATTTTATATAGTAAAATTTTATTAATATAGATCATTAAAGATAAATTACTTTTAATTTTAAAAAAAAAAACTGAAGTTTAGACCTCACCTAATAATAATTATTTTTATACATATAAAAAAGAACAAAAAGATTATTATTATTTTTGTAAAGTTGTGTGGCTAATTATTGTTGACAATAGATAAATGAATTGCTACCTAAATTTTATTTTTGATTTATATGCAAAATAGTATGAAAGGAAGGACGAGAGGATACACCATTTCTTACAAAACAAGAACATTTGATAAAATATATGGTTGGTATCATAGAGGCAACTTAGGTTCTTTTTGGCAAATACTTTTTTTAAAATTTGTAAATTGTAAACTTATATAATAATAAAATATTTTTTTAGTAATAACTTTTTAATCACAAATTTATAATTTATTTTATTAATTTATAATTTATTTTTTAAATACTATTTTAAATAGTATTTTAACTTATAATTTATATTTTTTCTTCAACTTTCATCTTAATTATTTTAATTAAAATTCACTATTATTATTTATAATACATTTTAATTTAAAATAAAATAATTATATATTAATTATTTGTTAAGTTATCAGCTTTCATCTAATTTTTATGTTTTCTTCAACTTTCATCTAATTTTATCAAATATTTCAATTAATTTACATATTATAAGTCATTATCCATCAATTATTAAAATTATAAGTTATAAATTATTAATCATGAGATATAAATTATCAGTTAATTTATTAATCAACTATTATTTTTATTAAATAGAGTCTTACTTGTTAGCAATCCAAATATTTTATTTGTGATGTTTTATAAATTATTTTTAAATTATAAAATTTTAATTATTATACTATTTAAAAATACACAATTGAAACCAAATTAAATAACAAGATACGACCTTTTCTTAACCAATTTTTGTTTATTTTTGAAACCACACGGAATATACATTTATATTTGTTTTTATATTTTTTCAAAAAATTTTTTTTTGATACACACTCCCTTTATCCTTTGTTTTTTATGATTTTTTTTATATATGTACATATCAATTCAAATAATAAATTTTCATTTATATAAAACTGTTTATCTTTTCGTAATGAACTATTTAATAATCTATTATTTTTCGACTATTTCTTTATATAATGAAAAACTAAAAACAATGTGGGCATTTTAAAATTAGTGTATTGAATTTAAAATATAAACACAAATTTTCTTTGTAAATGCAACGGTTAAAAGAAACCATGGCGAACGCATCTCAATTTGTTTCTAACATAAGTGTAACAAATGTCAACGGGTGCTTGCTAAAAGAAACAGATGGAGAACTCCTCTTGTTCCTAACTACATGCAACAATTATTAGCTATACACACATATTAAAAATAGTTGTAAATATCCTTTAAAGTTTGTTGATATAATCAAAATAATAATTGTGTTTTCAATATACCGTTTTCTTATTTTCTTCTATTATAAAATAAATGAATTATCTAATATTATTTAAAATTCAAAGAAATATTCACATAATAATTTAATAATTAAATCAGAGAAATACATTAAAGTGTCACGTTTGCTTCAAACAACTTCATAAAAAAAACATATTCTACTCTTGAACACGAATTTTCAAAAATTAATTACGTTGAGTATTTCAGAATCACTCGCAATATAAATTCATAATTCAAAACATCTTTATTATTCCATCCGTTCCTTTTTAAGTGTCGTTTTAGAAGAGTTTTTTTGTTTCTATTTAAGTGTCGTTTTTATAGTTTAATGTTATTATTTGTCAATTATATTCCTACTTTCTCAATAACTCCACTTCACATTTTTCATAAAATTAATTATTTTCTCAATTAGTTATTGGAAAAAGAGAGATGGTATATGATTGAATTTATTTGGAAAGAGAAAATAAATGAGAGTATAATAGGAAAAATAACTCTAATAATCCACTATCTTGGTTGAAGAGCTT